GCTTTGAAGTGTGTCTGATGTTTTGAAGAAAACTCTAGTGTCAAGCTGATTGAGTACTCTTCTGATATCGTCTGACGTCTCTGCTCTATATGGAATGACGACTGTTGAGGTCCATGTTTTCGGAATGCGTTTTCGGCCATACTTAATGTCTGTGTTGATTTTGTTGATGAAGTTCCATGGGTAGTTGTTTTGCTTGAGAGTTTCAGTAATGTTTGATATTTCTTCTTCTTTTTCTTTCTCGTCGGTTATCAGAGAGTGTGCTCGTCTAAGAAGACTTGAAACAACTGATACTTTTGCACTGATGGGGTGTGATAACTTGAAGTCTAAATTTTTATTTGAGTGGGTTTTCTTCCTGAATATGGATATACTAAAATGTCCGTTTTCCCTTCTCTTAACTAGGCAGTCTAGAAATGGTAGTTCACCGACGTCTGATTCTGCTTCGGAAGTGAATTGGATTCTGGGAGATACACAGTTTATTTTCTCCAGGAATGAATTGTGTAGATCTCGTTTTAGTACTACAAAAGTATCATCTACATATCTTAACCATATTTAAGGAGTGAGTATGCTTGAAAATATGTTATTTTCGAATCTATTCATGAAAAGGTCGGCGACTATTGGGAAATACAAAAACCTTTATTATAATGAATATCATATACCCAATGCCAAAATTTTTTCAAACCGTTAAAAGTGAACTTGGTTTGGACATATATAACATTTCCAATGCCTTCATAATTTCATCTGGATTTAAAGTACAACGAGCATTCAGTTCGTCGTCAGAACGAGGTAAATTATAAACATTGCTTACAGATTTCCTTTTTATATATCAACCTCTGTTATGTTAATTTCGATTAATTTCCCTGAAGAAGTTCGGGCCAGTTTGCCGAATGAAACGTTGGAATTACTCATTTCAATCTCGCTGAGATCATACAAATAAAGTTTTCACAAACATCGGTTCAGGTTGTTAACCCAGCTATGCAACCTAATTGACCTACACAGTGAACAGTTGTCATTCATTAATTTGATCACTACTTAGTTTCAAATTGACTCCTAGTTCAGTAATATAGCAGGTCACAGTAGTCGGAAGCAACTGCGTGCTTTTGATGTCGGTAGAGATAGCGGCTAAACTTGTTCCTTGAAGCTTTACAGGTACTGTGCGCGTGCTTATCTCAATACCACTTTTTCTTTGTTCATTCCATGATGAACAACCTATTCTAATTGCCTAACAAATCAGTAAATTTCATACTCACATGAGAAGAAAACTAATTACACTTACGACAGACTAAAACTTAAATATCTCTTGTATTTCACTTCCAACGCCTAGAACGCATCACAATCATAGGTGAAGCAATAACACTCTATCTTTAGCTCACAAAACAGAAATGATATCTAGAAATTTCAATCGGTATTTGAAAATGTTATAGTTCAAAAATAATCATCACTCCTTTAAAATATGTAAGAAAATCAAAATAAGTCAAATTGTTATTTACATAATTGAAGGAGGTTTACTTCAATCAGACTACGTGTTGGGATTTCTGGACTGGTGAGAAGCATGTTGTAAAGCTGCCGGTAGGATTTCACGCAACTCCTCACGACAGATAGTTCTCACCATTTCGATTAGATCTCGTTCATTAATACTGGATGTCGGTTCTGTTTCAGGTGAATCACTTCTTGAACTAATAAGGGAGCTATCTCCCACATTATGAAGTAGAGATAGCATTAATATGTTCATTTTACTTATGCACTCACCGTTGTCTAGATTATATAAACACTTAAATGAGTGTAACCTTGATATATATATATATATATTCAAATCAAACTTTGCAAGTCTCCCGTCGAATCAACTGTAAACGAACTGTGAATGAATTGTTGACTTCATTTCCGCCTCTCTCCTTCTGCGTGCATTTGATACAAAAATGGATGCACAAAGTGTACCTTACTTGAACGCACAGGGCTCAATCGAAATTAGCTAAAATATAACTGGAAATTAAATTGCACGAGTTTTGTGCATTGTAATAGATAGGTAGCGACAGTTAACTGACATTTAGAAGACAAAAGGATTGAGCGATGAAATATTTTACTTTTCAACCAGATCATTATTGTGGCTCTACTCTTACATATATAGCATTTTGAATACAATGTAGAAAGTTTACCGAACTATTGGCAATACGTTTGTTAGAAATAATCGAGCAGTATCAACATGTCGGGGGGTGGGTGATGACTAGCGAAGAAAATTAATACAAAAATTAGAGGGTATAAATGATTACAATAAGTGGATTGAATAATTTCGGAAATATTAGGAGCTATAAATGAGTGTTCAAGTTGAGTACATGATAAGCAGTTAAAGATGTAGTCAGAAAAAGTAATCTGGATAATGTTTACTTGTAAAAGGCTTGCAAGTGGGAGGGGGACGAAATTGTCACTTTTTTACATTCATGTACTAACGGTCAAGGTTAGGGAATTGGCTGTACGAATTTCGTCTGAACATACAGTTTTAGCTGCTTAAGGTGGATTCTGATGACTTCAAGTATATGTAAAAGACAACCTCGTAAAGCAAAATTGATAATAGTTAGTGTGCGAGAAATAACTTTAAGTGCTTTATTAACATCGACTTCATATGCTCGCTGTCTACAAGATGTGCCAAAACAGAGCTACGAATAGATCTAGTTTGTCCCTTCCTTAACGACGCAGGATGATGTTTGGAAATACTATGATTAACCTGTCTGATTGTACGACTAATGTACCTAGGACCGCAAGAGCATTCAAACTGATAGATACACATAGAGTAGGCGAAATGAGGCAATTTGTCATGAACGATTCTTGTGAAACAAATTAGAAAACATGAAAGGAAGCGCAATACGGGAGACGTGAAAAAGTTTGATTTTGATAAATAGTAGATATATTTCGCATAAAATTGTACATCGATTTGCCAGTAAATAATTCTGTTACAAAATATTCTTGTAATTTGCCGTTAGAATTCCACCTTCATTAAACAAAATAGTGATTAAATCACTCCTTATTTATACCAAATATGTTGATTTTTATATCAACACAGCTGCACACCTTTGTCTGTGTTTCGATAAGCGTAGTATAGTATTTGTGGATTGTGAACCACTTTCGATACTGTTCGATGACATCTTTGGGATTTCAAACCCTATATTGACCCCTTTTGTTCATATTTGTGAATCTCTTGATCATTATTTACGAATGGAATTGAACCAATACAAAATTACTTAGCTAGAATCTAGAGCTTTCGGGAAATTAGGATTTTTGCAATGTTATCTCATAAAAGTATATATATATTTGCGATTTTACAGCTTGAAAATGATATCCCTGAAAAAATCAACCCATCCTTTTATCCTGGGTTTTCGCTAATGTATGATCAAATAACATCACCATGACTTAAAATATGACCTTCAAGAGATTGAAAATATATGTATGCGTCCTAACATATTTAAAAATGCTTGATTGCAACATGTGGCTATTGAGATGCTGATTGCCTCCAACCGTCTAATATCATCAAATCAATGTGCACCGGGATGGCGAGCTACCTAGAATGGTGACCAAATTGCAAACCTGACTGATAGAATTCAGTCTGCACCAAAGAGAGGACTAGACACATCACACTAGTTACTAGTATCCAATATAGTCCTACAGGAGGTCAATTGCAAGCCCGAATAGCTCAGTGGTAACATCCCTCAATGTCTGTCTGGATTCAACATAGAACTTGGCACTGAAGTGCAGCAGTTCGAGTTGCCACGTTCCATATAGCACACAAAGGTAGACAAGAAAATGAGTGAAGAGAACCAATAGAGTTTTGACAAGTATAAGAGTGAAACAGAATGAGTAATGGTAGAAAGGAATATGAAAGATTACAGAGACTGAATTCATCTGCGCCATTGACAACGATTTTGAGCCATGTCACCTATTGTCTCAAGCCATTGATTCTTAGAGTCCCGAGGGCCCCAACCCGGAAGTCTGCTTCTCCCTACCTGACTCAGTTTAACTGTCAAGGATTTCATGGATTGATGCCATGTTTTTGTTTGGCCACCGCTTACTCTTTTCCAACCTGCACCTATATCAGCTAGTAATGCCCGTCGGGGGAGGCTATGGTTAGGCATACGCAGTACGTGACCCTCACTGCAGCACTGGGTGACGCGGTGCTGACTGGTGACTGACAACTAGCAGGAAACCTAGGTCCAAGGCTTCCTGCCGAATGCCTTCGACCGCCTAATATCAGGGAATCTAATCTACTGATATTATTGATTTGATGTTATTCAAACATTAATTTCGTTAATAACCTTAATTCTTTCATTATCATGGATACATAACTGTAGAACCTGGTGAAAAAGTTATCGAAAAGAATATTCTTTCTTCAGTAATCAGTCTTTTTGGCATTTATTGAAGAATAGAACTTGTACACTGTGGTAGAGTATAACTCCATTGTGGGTAAAATTTATTTTGGTAAACTCTCACAGTGTTAAACAGTAATATTAAAGTAACATTATTACAGCAAATATTACTTTTTAACACTGTGAGTTTTGGCATTTAGATTAGTTTGATTTCACTTTGGGTGTTTCATTAAGGACTCGAAAATTCGACAAAAATATTTTCAAACATTTGTCCTGGAATAATCAGAAAAATATGTATGGCTGAAACAAGTGTCAAGTCAAATTATGACTTTTAGAAGATAATTGACATATTCTCTCAACCATATATACGGAACAGGCCTACAACATATGAAATTGGATTCTTAAGTAAACAGGCGCCAAAATGATTTTCACTAACCAAAATTCTATTCAAATTTTATTACAAAATATTTACAGAGATCATTCGTACAAAGAAAAAATATGAAGGAAATATACCTCACAACAGCCTGTGAAGATATATATATATATATATATATATATATAGAGAGAGAGAGAGAGAGAGAGAGAGAGGATGTCCATATAACTCGTGAAATAGTTGACTGCAATGAGAATTGGTTGTCATATAATTGGAACTCATATGACTGCTTCACACTTGTGAGCGGCTTCACGGTGTTTACGTATGCTGCTGTGAGATAAAAGGTCTTCACCAGAAACCCACAACTGATTGAAATCTATTACAGTCCTGAAACAAAAAGTACATTCAGCCATTAAGCATTATCAAAAACTGGGTATCAATTAGTATAAATAAGATTCACTGGAGTGAAGTCTAAGGCTGGAATAAAACACTTTTGTACTCCCCTCCATTTTGTCAACTTTTCGTTTTAGTTTGTTCCCTAGTATCACAGTTACACAACTTCTTTTGTCTTGATATTCCTCCGAGTTTACTGTTTCTAAATGCGTAAAGTTAGGCTTATACAGTCATACACTATTTTTGGTTTTGTTGATGCTAGCCCTGTTTTAAGCAATTTTCCTTGCAACCTTGGTTCGTCAACAAGGCTTGAGCCACTGTACTGTATGTATATACCATACAATCATCTTGAATAAGGATACTGTATTGTATGACACAGTCAAGCAAGCATAGCGAACGCTTATAACCATATTTTATTGGTTTTCGATGGTAGGTTAACTGAGAACACAATATAATTATAGTTATTCTTCTGGTGAAATAAACATCACGGAAATTCAAACGGAGTAATGGCCCCATCAAATGCGAGCAGCAGACGAGTGACAAAATGTATTCACACCTCCAACTATTAACAATCAGACGTCTCAACCAGATGACAGGAAATAATTCCACTTGAATGACACCACCTTTGACAAGGGTCCAAGAATTTAGTATGATCAAGTTCTGCTACCTGCCTTTATTTCAGTAATAATACATATTGTAGTGTGAAGCCACCAGTCTTTACATGCAGTCACTGTTATAATCTATATATATATATATATATATATATATATATATATAACACCGAAAGTTCAAAATAAATTTTACAATTTTATTTCTTTGCTTTCCCTGGTTCAAGTGGCTATAAGAAACCGACCAGGAGTTCATAGCATCTTTCAACTTAGGCGAATATCCAAGAGCATAAAGTAACAGAAAGAGAGCTTACTCTGCCTCAAAACGTTTTGAAACGAATGGTTTTCGAAGGCCACCATGTTTTGCAACATGTGACGAATTACTCCTTATAATCGTAACATCAACTGACTCCTCATCAACTGCAAGAGAAGTTTCATTAGCCTCTGGGTGGACATCCACAAACTGAATCTGCCTGAAATTGGAAGAATTAGCAATTAGTACACACAAAGTACCTGCTTAGTTGTTCTTCCCAACAAAGTGGTTTCGTTTTACGTTTCCTATTGCATTCTCTTTTGCTACTCTTCATTCTAAGTCTGAGCAATAGCGAACAAAAATATTGAATATAATTTCTGAGACTAATCATTATTCTGAAGCAATTATGTCAAAACGAATTGATCTAATGCTCCATACACGAGCACATTCTCAAAAAAGACGAGAGATATCGAGAGCTAAAGTCCTATTCGTAAATTAGTAATAGAAAATACAGCACTGGCCGTCTGGATTGATTATTTCCGACATGACCATCTATAAAAGCCATAAGTCTACTTAAAGACAAAAATATGACAGCACTGAGTGTGTCGTATAAGACTAGGGACAAAGGAACAGGCCCCAAATGCGTCCAAGGAGCTCTCACACAACAAAGTCTGTGATTTTATCAAAAAGCAATGTTATTGGTCGTCACGTCATCATTCGTACACAGATGGAACTGGGGAACACCGAGGAGAAAACACTCGAAGTGTTAGCCAAAGCCACCAAAAGCTGGTGTCATGATCAACGAGCTCGGAAAAAAGGAGAATAATTATCAGAAGAGGTAGTTTCAATAAACAAATGTCTAACTTCTTTAATTACTTCGTTGTTATTTCAAATTTTCCCTCCATTCCTTTACTACAGGTGTCTTACAATGTCTGTCAACCTGGTCACAGCCAATCATTATCCCCAAAATAATGTATAAAATCAATTTCGCAAACGGTTTTCACCTCTCACTATTTTTATGAAAGCTGTATTTGACTGTATAAATATTATCCCCACACTGTAAAAGCCTTATTTTATATCACTGGAATGTGGAGTTGTAGAGATATTAGAATCTAAAGACAATAATCATTAAGCTTGTCACTGTAGGAAAATTCTGTTTGGTAGTTAACAGAGTACAGGGCGAAGGTGGGTAATCAGTTCATTCGAGAAGTGGGTAAAAACAAGGGAACTTATTGAGAAATTGGGTAAGTTTTTCGTTCGAAACATGGGTAATTTGTCATTTCTGCTCCTGGGACATATGTGTAAAAACCTGGGATGTGTGGGTTAAGTAAGAAAAGGCGGGACGTGAAAAATATTTCCGGACATAAATATACGTTGAAAAGGTGGACAAGTCATGTTGAATTTTATCCCCTTTATCCCACGTTCGACTCACTGTGCTTATGTGGATTGTGTTCAACAGTTTGAAAGGAAATATTATGAACAGATATGTACTGAAGAAGGAAAATTAACTTTGAAAGTAACTCTTTAGATTAAATTATTGGTACGAATTGAAGCAACTGATCTCATATCAAAGTTCTCTATTTCCAAGTATTATTAACGGCAAAGTTCAACAATAGCGTCCCAGGAGTCCGAAAGCACCAATGACCTTGAACGCATACAAGTCGTCGGCTGACGGCACTTGTCATTATCATAGCTGAAATATCAACGTTATTCACCAACTAAGCAGAAAATTTCACTCAGATCACGTTTCTAAGTACCGTTTCGACAATGTATTAATAGCTCGTTAGGATTAGGATTAAGGTATGTTTTGGGGTTGGGGTTCGGATTAGGATTAAGTTTGGGGTCAGTGTTAGGGTCAGCATTAAGGTTAGGGTTACGGCTAGGGATAGATTAATAGTTGATGTCATCTATTTTAATCTGTTTTCTTATCCATATTTTCCTGGTAATTAGTTGTCGATCCTCTTACTGGAAAGCATAGTAATTCAACCGAGGGCTTTTGGGGAAGACTGCACAACAGGATAAGAGAGATGAACGATTCACAAAACAGCTCGTCTTCAGTCACCTCGGTGAATACATGTGCAGAAACTAGTCTAACTTAGCAACTGAAACTCCTCGTTACAATTTTGACGTACTTCTAAGTCATGTCAGAGAAGGATAACCTGCATAATGTGTTTTCATGCATTTTCTTGTAAATATACGTCATCTTTTGTGCAGAAATTCCTCATTTTCTATGATTGGTCGGCTGAAAGTCACCCGTGCGTTCACATCCCTTGGGACGCGATTGTTGGACAGTCAACAACACTGACTTGTATATTAATCGGTTTATATAAACTATTTCCTACTTCCCAATTTCGCGAAGATATTTTCACGACGAAAAATCAGACCGGTTTGGTTTGCTTTGACTGAACATTGTTGTTAATCATCCAAAATTAATGAACCGTGATGAAGTGATACTTAATACATATTAGTATTAAAGCCTGAAAATCGACCTCAATAACTCCGGATACATATTTAAGTATATCCATACAAATTACATGCAGTTGTTCTCATTGATGAATTTGAGTGATTTCACATTGACTAATGCAAACAAACAAGTGTAAGAGTAAACAACAGACACCAAAGTCAAATGACCTTGGTTTGACCAGTCAGATAGCTCAGAATCACATATCGTCGCCAGTCATAATCCTCGTTGCAAATGTTTCTTAGAATTGCTTTATGACTTCTCTGTGGAGAATGTGTTCAAGGGAAGGAATAAAACATGCATATGTCGACGGACGACGACTGTGCAAAAGTACTGACGGACTACACATTCAGATGCAACCGCTTTATATGAGGAAGTCTGTATAAGTTGGTAAGTCATACATAACTTGTGACTTTTTGAACACTTTCTTCTCGAAATCAAAGGTCTCCCTTACTAATATATAGCTTTTATGCAACCAGTATCTCTTATAGGAGATACAGCTGGAGAAATAAAGAATACATCGGTTTGATATGTCTATAAGCACTTCTACGAGAATCTGGGACCAGCTTTTCCAGCAATTAGAGATGTAAACTTTAAATGACCCATTTTTATTACATATATATCGCAGATACACTACTCTGTAAATTAGGTACCACTTTTCACCTAGAAGAATCTGATTGTCTATTTCAAGGTTGTCTGAAGTTGGTGTCAATTCTTTACTGTTGCCTCGTTCTAAATTGATCGAATGATAATGACCGTAAGTTCTGCCTCCTGTGTGTCTTACTCTAGCACCTGTGTATCAAATGTGCGTCGGTGGCACAGTGGTTAGAACTCTCGCCGACCATGCACATGGTCCGAGGTTCGAACCCCTGCCGGTGCACACCCGATATCTATGGTCGGCCTGCGAAATTTGGGCTACCGATATCCATCCTGAAAATGCCATACTTGTACTGAAAATGCATTGTGGCATAACGCTGTAAACAAAATAAAATAAAAATAAAAAAATTAACGCAACGTTTCGTAGTTCCCGCATGAAGTTCCAATATCCAATATCCTGATTACGAGCTAGTATAAACCAGTGATTTCTTTGAGCTCGCTTCTTGATTGTAAGGTAGAAGTTCCAGATCTTCGGTGAACTTATGCGTAGTAAGTCCCGCCACTCGACTGCTTAAGCTCTGGTAGACTCCAAGATGAGTGGTGCGGGGATTGGTCAAAATGTGGTTCGTAGTGTGCAGTATTTTAGGACTGAGTTGCTGCCGTGAATGGAGTTTGACCTAACACCCGTTGGTCATTCGGTGTAGTCATAAAAGCAGAATAGTAATAATAATAGTAGGTTATAGTGTAGATAATATAGGTTGAGATAAGTGAATTAATAAAGGTGACCTAAGGAAAAGATAGAGTAGTCGGTACAGTGAGAGAAGACATAACGGGTCGTGGGGATTTGGCTTGTATGTTTATCCATTGACAGTGTGGTTTCAATTTTTAAGAGGATAAGCCATTGAGACGCAAACCTTCCACTTCTGCATGATTGTCCAGCTTCCGCCTAAAAGTCCCCACAGATGGCGCTGTAGTCATGGCCGCCGGTAAAGCGTTCCAGAGACGGCAAACTCGAAGCGAAAAGAAATGTGAACGCACTCGATTCTTTGGTCTCTAATGTGCTATCCTTAGCGGGTTACCTCGTGGAAACCTATAATCACTTAATGGCAGGATGCTTATATTAGGGTGGGCCTGGTCATTTAAGATCTTATAGACGGTGATGAGGTCTCTCCTGTGACTACGGTAACTAAGTGTGAAAAGACTTAATTTCTTCAGTCTTTCCTCATATGATTTGTTGCGGAGGCCGATCACCCATTTTGTCGCTTGTCTCTGGACACTTTCTAGAATGTTAGCATCCCTTTTGAGTGCCGGAGGAGCAATGATATTATGCACCTCAAGGAGTGGCCTCACGTATGTCGTATACAACGTTAAGAATAGTTCAGGAGTAAGAGCTTCCAGCTGCCTATGCATAAAGTGTAAAGTTGCGTAAGCTTTGGCGACGTCCCTCGTGTAATTTACACTGGTGTCTAGCTTTTCTGTTAAAATAAGACCTAGGTCGCGTTCTGATGGCACACAACTCAAGTTCTGGCCACCAAGGGTGTAATTTACACTCTGTGACCTGCCGGAATGAAGTTGCACTACTTTGCACCTCTTTAGGTTGGAAGGCATTCCGTTAGCCAGAGCCCAGTCTCCCAGAGTTTGCAGGTCAGCCTGCAATCTGTTGGAGTCTTCCGATGAGTTTATTGCTCTCCAAATCTTTACGTCGTCAGCGTAAAGAAGCGCAGAGCAGTTCAGTTGACAGGGTAGGTCGTTGATAAAAATCAAAAACATCAACGGCCTTAAGATAGAACCCTGAGGAACCCCTGATGCCGAGGTGTGCCAGGATGATCGGATGCGGTTGACTTTGGTGCAGGATTCTCTCTCGCCTAAGTAATCTTTCAGCCATGCGAGAAGTGCTTCAGAAACACGCGCCCTGCTTATTTTGTGAAGGAGCAGACCATGGTGAACTGTATCGAATGCTTTCGCAAAGTCGAGAAAGATCACATGGACTGGTGCCATTACATCCCAGGATAATGTCCAATCGTTCGAAGCTAGTAGAAGATCCGTCACACAGGATCCTCCCCTCCTGAAACCATGCTGTGCTTCATGGAGTAGGTTAGTCCCGTCGAAGTATTTTCTTATGTGTTCGTCAATGAGACTTTCCAATGTCTTCGATATCACTGGAAGTAGCGCAACTGGTCTGTAACTGGTCGCGTTCTGCCGGTCACCACCCTTGAAGATAGGGGATAGGATGGCTCGTTTCCATTCACATGGAAGTTTCTCTACATCAAAGGAGTGTTGAAAAAGATCGCTCAGGGGTTGGCAGAGACTTTCTGAACACTGCTTTAGGACGGATGGTCTTATGTCATCGCAACCTGCAGACTTTCCCGAAGCCAACTTTCCCAATTTTACGAGCACTATAGCCGGGGTAATTTGAAGTGTACCCAGCAGCTTTTCGCACGTTGGTTTTGCATTGTAATCTTGATATTTTGTGGGGGTAAAATCCTCGTTACTGTTTAGTTGCCAGTGAAAGGCTACACTGAATGTCTCTGCCACTTCAAGACTAGTAAGAGATTTCCCATCAGAACCCACTAGATTGCAAGCTCCCTGATTGGTCGGTTTTCTTTCAGACATAAACCTGTATAGGCTTTTGGGGTTCACGAGAAGCTTAGTGGTGAGGTTTCTCTGAAATGTCCTTCTATCACTCCGGACTCGTATGTTACATCGATTCCTGAGTTCAAGGTACACTTCATGTTCGGGTTGACTCTTCGATAGTCGCCACGCAAACCAGGCTGTTCGCTTCGCCTGTAGAGGACGTTGTGTCCCCCTTCTCAGCCATGAACGTTGCTTCCTAGCTTTTGGTGTGACTAAAGGAACAGTGTCTGAGACCGCCTGGTGAATGATCTCATTTACCAATCCCCAGTGTTCTTCTACTGTAAGCTATGTCCAGTTTTTAGGCCAATTTGCTTCAGTCTTTGCATTTCGGTGTAATTGGCTATGTCATAACACAGATAGGGCGGTCCCACTGTAAACGCTCGCGGAGGACTATGTTGAATGTTATGACCGCGGGGTGACTATTACATATGGGAGTCGTGATCTGAACGTGTGTCGGTGGCACAGTGGTTAGGACTCTCGCTGACCATGCACATGGTCCGAGGTTCGATCCCCTGCCGACGCACACCCGATATATATGGTCAGCCTGAAATTTGGGTTACCGATATCCATGCTGAAAATTCCATACTTGTACTGAAAATACGGTGTGGAATCAAGCTGTAATTAAAACAAAATAAAATAAATAAGTAGCTGGCCACCAATGAGCACAAAATCCAGTCCAGAATACTTCCCATCTAGGCTCCATCTAGTATCCATTCTGACATTTTCAGTGAATCCAGCCTCCCTGATGCTATGCAGCAGATTTCGATCAAATCTATCATTTGCATATCCCGTCATCAAGTTAAGAGATGGGGCATTGAAGTCGCCAGCTATGACAATTTGATCATAACCCATGTCTTGTGTCGCTGAAATTGTATTCAGCAGTGCCTGGTTGTGGTCTGCTCCACATGAAGGTGATCGATAAATGCTGCCCACTAGATATTTACAATACCCAACGGTGAAATGGCACCATATGGACTCAGGGAACTCAATGAGGGGAGGGTCCATTGCGTGAACACATCTGAGCTGTTTGTCGACGTATATGGCGACTCCACCTCCTTCTTTCAGGTCCCTATCTCGCCTGACTAGGACCATATCATTTATACTGACTTTGCTGTCTGCCACCGTAGGGGTTAGCCAGGTTTCTGTCAATATTATGATTTTGGAATTCAGCTGTGATTTTAGGTGTCTAAGTTCAGCTATTTTGCTTCTTAGCCCTCTCACATTACTGTACAGGCAACTGGTAGTCAGTCTCACCACGTCCTCGTATTGAGGGGTGGTTGACTTGATGTGGGCTGACGGTTGAGGAGCTATCCTACGAACTAGTTGGTCGATTCCCCGGGAACCGGCCTGTTGGAGTTTTTTCTTCGAGTTCAATCGGAGCACTTGGATGACACTGGCTATCATCGTCCGTGCTGCACCGCTGTATTGTGACTAAGGGTTGGGGATTTTCTTTGACAACGCTTTGTTCTCTCCTTTGGATACGAGGCCAGCTCTCGCAGCAGCAAATGTGTCTGCTGACTTTGTCCTTGCTCTCGTACCATCTCAACTGGTGTCGAGTGCTGAACTTGACAGCTAACAGACGTGGCGTGTTAACTGACATGAGGTGAGTGGGTCGAGGCAGTCTATAGATAGAGACAGCCCCTGAACTTCCCAGAGCCATCTGGGATGCTGACCATCTCCATTGCTGTACATCGTGACAGTGCTTCTCGCAAGCGTTCCCAGTTACCAGTTCGGGAATGCCGTGAACAACCATGGAGGCAGAAGGAGTAAGCTCTGGCGACTCCCTCGCCATCTGTCTTTCCTTCCATGGCCTGTCTGGCCTAACACGTATATTGCAGGCTCTCTCTATAGAAAGGACTTGAGAAGTCAGTAAAACTTTGTGTGTCTCAGTGCGTGGCCGCTATTACTGGCAGACGATAAGGGTCTTTTTCCAGCGACAGATACCCTTGGTGCTTCAGCCTCTGTATCTGGAGCAGTTATGGCAAGAATTGCAAGTTTAACTGGTGTGGATTTTGGTATCCCCGATTTACGTGCAATTGTGCTGTTTTCTGAGTTGGTGGGAGTAGAATGTTTCACGTTTTTGCCTGATACCTCTATGCCATCTTTAGCTTTCGAGGAACTACACGAGGCTGCATCAGGACGGCAACTTGGGCATATGTACCGGAACCATGGGCATAGGTTCTCACGCATAAAATCATAATATACTTTTGGTACCCTGGTGTCGTATCTACAATGTACGCACTGCTTGCAGAAGTTGCATTCTAAGGCAGAGTCTACTTGTTCGACAACAGAATCGCAGACCTTGCAATCGTCTTCTTTTTTGGGGAACGTTTTTGTCCTCTTGCGACGTCGTGAACGTTTCTTTTTGACCTTCCTGTTTGTTTCAAGGCCTACTTTGGAGATGGGTGTTATACAATTCTCACTTAGTGCAGATTTACCACCCGGCTCTATTATCCTAGTCGTGTTACCAGGTATGGGGCCACATCCGCTTGGTTGACTTTGCACATTTTCACGGTAGGTCTGTGGCGACATGGCTAAACTGTCCACGCAGGGAATATTTTACCTGGTCTTCAAGACTGGTATGCGAAAGTCCATCA